ATTAAATTAAATTTACTAAAAATGAATAAAAGGAGCATAAAAATATTTAATTCTTTTCGAGTGATTTACAACTACTGATTTATTTCACTAGAGAAGCAAATGAAACTTATTGGACTAATTAAGATGGAAGCTGCTACGGAGCATTTTATTATTGTCATGTCAAAGCCTGGACTGGCAACCATGCTTAATTTTCTGATAATGGTCAAGTTGCAGGGTGAGTTCGTAAACACTGTTTGAACACATTTCATTCCTAATCAATTGCTATAAACTTGTCTTTAAGGAGTAATGAAATGAACATATATTAGCAATTAATTTTATATTGAACACTACCAAAGTTTGGATTTCACTTTTATTATTTTATTATTTTATTTTTAAGTATAATTCTCCATCATAATTTTAAATATATCCTATAATATAAATTATAAAATTATCTTTCAAGAAATTAGTTTCAAGATATGTATAAATTGATCCAAAAACATCCTAATTATTAAATCCAAAAAATTAATAATAATAAATATAAGTTTGTTAAATCTTAGATCAATTCTATGTAAAATTAATCAATAATAAAAGATATTAAATTAATTAAATGTTTTTAATAAAGAACTCAAAATATGGTACATAAAATAAATAAAATGTGATAGAGAAAGTGCAAGGCGAATTTGATTGAGATAACTAATCAAACAATTGGTCAGCAAAATAAAAAGAAATTCAACATCATAAATCATTATCTTAAGACTCAAAATATTCAAAATTTTCCAATTATTTTCCAATTATGCCACCATCAAATACTAAAATATGAATCAAATATACGTAAATTATAGTAGTATTAAAAACATAATTGTTTTTTGACAATAAAATAAATATGAAAACTACAAAAAATAAAAAATATATTAAACATATTAATTTTTTTCAAAAATCTGAGCGGGGACCCATGGCCTCCCAAGCCGCAATGAAGCTCGGCCCCTGAATCGTACCTCTTTACCTCCAGCCCAAAGCAAAATCAATAGGTTGAAAGAATTTAGGAAACAATGACGTATTAGATAACCCATGTCTAAATTTTTTATTTAAAAAATTACGTAATTAATTAATTGTGAACAAAAGAGATATTATTATTGACAATCAGTTTACTAACATATAGGCACAATTAAAAATATCGGCATATTAAAAAAAAACAAGATCATGATAAATGTGATTAAAAATATAAGATAAATTACATAAAAATCTTGTTTTATTATTTGTATTGTATTAAATTGTAAAATAAAAATTATTAAATGTAAGAAAACTTATAACAACAAAGACTTATAAAATTTGAATTGTATTACATTTTTTTAAAATTACATTATTTAAAATATAAAAAAATAAATTTTATATTATTTAATAATTAAGTATTTCAACCGCCAGAGCAGCTAAAGCCCGGAAGGAACAAGAGTCATTATATTCTTTAATGGCATGAAATCAAACAATGCCGGAGCTTTCTGTAGCTCTCTAAATTTGGAAGGGGGAAAGCGGGTGGAATTTTGAGGATAAGGAGCCAGTATATTTTATTGTGCTTCATTCAAAGGGCATGATGCTACTGAAGCATAAAGCTAGACATTTTGATGACAAAGCAGTAAACGAAGGCTTTGAAAGTCACTGGACCTTTTGCTTATTTAGTAATTTTACAAGCTACAATGAAAGGATACAGATATTTATAAAGACATTAATTAAATGAATCGTGTAAGCAAATTCCATAATCAATGTCCAAAGATGAAACAATCCATCTTTCAATTAACAAAAACTAAAAACCCAGCATTCATGTCAATTTTAGACCAACTAAAATACCAAAAAGTCTCTAACAGCAACTCTTCACTTTCACTCATTACTAATAAACATATCTAGATTATATTGGCTAGGAATGTAACTGTTATGTCCATAGATGTCATCCTTCCTCCAAAAGGAAAAAGGAATTTATGGATAGAAAAACAGCCCTCATAGGTATAATCTAGTCTAGTCTTTTCAAGTATCAACAACCAACTAAAGAACATCACTCTCAAAATTCAAAAACTCACAATCTGCCACTACTTTGAGGAACCAATCACATAAATATATACAGTTAGTGGTTACACTTTGAAGGTCAGTCAAACAAAAAATTATACTCTTGAATATCAAAACATGAGCAACAGAGAGTGTAAATGCAGTATTCTCAAGTTTGCGAAAATGAATTCAAGAAAATTTTTACAAAAATTTCAAAGCACTTATAAAATCCAAATTTTTTTTAGTACCATATGCAAAGTGTATGCATATACACAGAAGTCATCTTTTCAAAGTCCAGTCTAGATTTGGCAAAGAAATATTCAATTCCTTACATGCCATCATTGTGCTCTGGGCGGAAAGATATATAAATCAATAAAATGAAACAAGGGAGAGTTTCTAATCTAAATATAAGCTCTAAGTCTACCAAGGAACCAAGAACAAAAAATTTAGCATTTGAAGTTAGCACATTCAAAAGCTTAAAATCTTTAGTAAAAGAAAAAAGTTTGAAATCACTCAATTGACAAAAAAGAGAGTCCAGAACAGTGCAGCTACTACCTGACTCATTCTCCAAACATCAGAAAGTAAGTTCTTCTTGTTCTCTAGAGAAACAAAGAGAGAGAGAGGATAACCATGAATAAATTGCGGTTCAACAATGTGAGAAATAATATACTAAACTGAATCCAGAAAATGGCAAACCAGAATCAACTGCTTTGATTTCCCTCATGGTTGCGTCGGCTGACATCAATGGTTTAATGAAGAACTGTGCAAATCTGAAGAATAAATCAGGAAAACTAATCCAACCAGATAGAGAATTAATCAAAATCAGAGAATTAATCAAGCAGTGCCTACCTGTCCAAGGCCTCTTCAAAACCATCAATATTAACATCAGAATGAAAGTTAGTACTCTCAGAAGCTGTGAAGGCATTTGTTCTGCCTCCATGCTGTACATAAACCACTCGGGAGGTCAGCAAAAAGATAGAAATGGCTTTAACATAGTCCACAATCCTCATTTCTACTACAAGTTCTGAAATTATTAATCAAGCTTAGAAAGAATTCAAAATCCCATTAGAAGCAACTCTTTTCATCAACCAAAAACCAATCACATCCTTTCTTCTATTTACTAACACTAAATCATAGCACATTGGAAAGCAACATTCATTCTTATTTAGTCAACCATCAATTAGAAGAAGGAAGACTGTATTACATTACCTCTGCAATGTACTTTGAGTAACTATCCTCCAAGGGATACTTCTCACTAGCATAGAACAGCATGTGCTCTGAGAAAATACATCACAACAAAAACCAGTATTCAAGTGCTAAGACCAACCACCCTAATCCCAGGAGCCGAAAATAATACTGAATCGGAATAAATAGCCGGAAATTGAGAAATTAAGCAAAAAACCATTATAGGAAGAAGAAGTACCGAGAAAATGGGAGACGCCCTCGAGACCATCAGGATCAGAGAAGGAACCAACACCAACCCATAGCAGCAGCACACGCAGACATCAAGAAACAACAATGAGAAACGGTTGATTTCTGACGTGAATGAAAGAAAGGGGAGAACGG